CGTGCTGATAACGTGTAATAAAGAAATAAAAGAAGAAGAACAAGATTGCAGAGAAAGAGAGAGGAAATTCTTATTGAATTTTGGGATGATTTACAATGGGGTAAGACACCTCTATTTATAGGGGAAAAATGACTTAGCCACAAAGTAAAACTCTCTAAAAGATAGACATTCACTGTGATTACAATTCTATCCATAACATATATATATATATATATATATATATATATATATATAATTTATAAATATTTCTTAAACTCGTTCACTATTTCATCTTTAAACGTACTATTTAATGTTTGGACTTAACATTCTTGAATGGTCCGATAAATTTTATAGCCCACAAAGGTAGTAAGTCAAATAAAGTTCAAATGAATACTAATGCTAATAAAGGAAATTCAATTCAACACCAGGAATGATAATAGTATAGGATACATGTTTAGTTTTGCATTGGTTTATAATGAAAATACATAACCTAGTTTATCTTTTTCTTTAGTGCTTAGTTGTGTAATTAATAGTACTTATTAGCTGTACTAATTTTAGCATGGTATTTTTAGATTCTGTTAGTTTTTATTATGGCTTATTAATTAGTAATATTTTTTATGCGATTTTATTATCTTTGTTATTAAATATTTTAGTACAATGCTATGACTCATCTTATATAATTGTGTTATTTTCTTGAAAAACACATTATATTATCTATCCTAATAGGGGTAAAGAAATAATTGGAGCACAAGTTACATATTTTGTGCTATGAAGACTTTATCCAAAAAATCCAAAAATCCGAAAAAACCAAAAAACCCGAGAAAATCGAGATTGAAAAACTCGACTTTATTGATTTAGTTTGGTTTATAAATTTAAAAATTCGACACCATAAATTAATTTTGATAATTGAAATTTCGTACCAACTCCATCTATATATACCCCTAGATGAAATATACTGATGTAATGACCGAAAGCAAAAAATGTCTAGACAGGAAGCATCTTGGCATTATACAAGAAAGTTTCCACACAAAGAAGTCTCTGTTTTCCTGAATACGCTTTGCGGCACAAATTACTTTTAGCACGGGACTTAAACTATTTATATCTAGTAGGTGTAAAAGTATATAAAATTTATATATTTTTATATATAATATACAGAACTGTATACGTATATAAAACAAACATATTTTTTGGCTATTATTTTGAGGGCTATACAATATTATTTTTCCTTAATTTTAGCTGAAATATCATCATGGGCGAATCCAACAATTTAGCTATGAGTTAGTTGAACCCATAACTTTTATCCTAGACCTGGATTTTAAGTATAAAATTCACTAAAATTGCTGAAAAAATTGAGTTATGAACCCATAATTCAAACAAGGTGATGAGTTCAATAGTATAAACTAAAATCTTGAACCCACAGAATTAAAATCTTGAATTCGCCTCTGAATATCATTACATAAAAATAGTTTATTTTAAAATCAAAGTTATATAAATTCAAAAGCCTATTATTTGTGTTTTATTTGAATTCCCACCCGGTGTCCGATATCCGCATTGGAGCCCGACTATATAAGGATTCGCGTTGGGTAGGGCCACATTCGGTGGGAGCGCTCAAGGATTTTTCCATACTAAGGGATCGAACCCGAGACCTCTTGTTAAGAGAAGAACAGTCTCATCCACTGCACCGCATCCTTTGGTGGTATATATGTTAAAATATGATAAACCTTGCTTAACAAAGTAAAGAGAATGTAAGTAATTAGTACTACGGATATGAAAATATCAATTTTCTTCAATTATTTGAGAGTCAAAACTAGTAATCGCCGGTCGCCTGTCTTGGTGGGAGGGAGATAAACATATCTCGTCTTAACAATGAATCAAATGAAAGTGAAAGAAATCGAATTTAATCATTATAAGAAAAAATTCGGTAATATGCAATTGCTAATATCACAAACTGTTGTATAACCCTTGCTAATATCACAAACTATTATATTATACCTGACTGTTCAATCCAACTGCTAACTCTGTGTAATATCCTCGTTTCAAACCACAAATCCCCATTTTGTTATCCCATAAGAGCTAGTTTGGTATGAGAGATAAGAAATAAATTAAATTTAAGAGTTTATCTTATGTTGGTTGGTAGAAAATTGCGGTATAATTAATTCCGAGATTAGTTATCTCGGGATTGTAGTATTTTTTTTATCCCCATGGAAAGGTGGAATAACTAATTTCAGTAAAACTAATCCCAGAATAATTAATCTTGGGATAACTTCTTTCCAACCAAACGAACCCTAAGTGGTTTAGGGATTATAACTCTAATAAATATTTATCTCATTAGATATTTATATTATTTTAAATTTTAATTTTAAAAGCTAAAAATTAATATAATTATATTATAATTGATTATGGTGAAATAATAGATAGAAGTATAAAAAATACATGTTCTCCATAAATTAATTTGATGTAAACACAAAATGCTAATAAATTTTTACTCTAATTCCACTTGCTATGTTCATTGCATCCTCTGTTTATAATCCGTTATTTAATGGATCTTTTTTTCTGTCAACATTTTCTTCCACGCGTTTTCTCCTTACAGTCGTCACATACAGCGGAGATGTTGTGTCAACCAAATAAGGAAAGATATAGTCATTTAAAATAATATATATATATATATATATATATATATATATATATATATATATATATATATATATATATATATAT